ACCACCGTGCCACCGTGCTGCCATGGTATCTAAATTCTCATTCTCATTACACTTTCAAATTTAATTGCTTTTGAAATTTTCTCCCTTTCATCACACAGTCGGTGCAGACTTGTCAGCTGTACATCCTTTTATGCTCATCCTGTGAGCTATTGTGCTAAGATCTGACAAGGGTAGTTCACTCACTGTCATGGTTGAGAAACCAGTTTGAGTTGACTGGAGATTTGTGACATGGAGCATTATCCTGCTGACAGCGGAAGATGGGTTGAAATCAGGTTGAGACTCATCAGACTGGGCAATGTTTTTCAATCCTCTTCTTCTGCTGTTGTAGCTCATCTGCTTCAAGGTTTAATTGGTTGTGCATTCATTTGATGCTCATTTGCAAACTTTGGTTATAGCGAGTGATTGTTTGAGTTACTGATGCCTTCCTATCAGCCCCAAGCAGTCTGCCCACACTCATCTGAGCTTTGGCCTATCGTCTGGGAACACCCCAGTAAATCAGCAGTTTCTGAAATATTCTGACCAGTTTGTATGGTACAGACATCCATGTTCAAAGTCACTTAAATTGCTTTCTTCCACATTCTGATGCTCAGTTTGAACTTCAGCAGGTCATCTTGACAATGTCTACATGCCTAAATACATTGAACTGCTGCAGTGTGATTGGCTGATAAGATGCCTAATGAGTAGTTCAGTTGATCAGGTATATCTGACAAGTGAATGTATATGCAAGTGAAAAAAATCATTCACTGAGGACAGCAACTTAATTTGTTTAACTGAAGGCACAGGAGAAAAGGTAATTTTAGGAAATTAGATTTTGATGCACAGCATACTGTAAACAAGAGGTGCAAAAATAGATACTCTGAGTCTTCAGGTATGACAGTGCATGGCACAAAACATCCACGAGTTACAGGTGTGTGAATAGAAGAAAGGAAGGGCTACAGAAATGATCATCTAGGAGATCAAAGAGAAGGAGATCAGTGTAATTTTTCTTCACATTTTCAACAAAAATGCTAACACTCATATTAGTTCTTACATGTGATGTATTCCTCCGCCGGCACAGCTGCATGTGCAGGTCAACAGAAAATGACTACACCCGCTGTTGGTTAAGAGGTCAGTAATAAAACACAGTTGGACAGAGATGAACAAGACAAATTTCTACCAAGGTGAAATGAATCAGCTGAAGTAGAGAAAACATATAATTTCCCCCCTTCACTTCAGCAACCTTTATTTTTGCACTTTAAAAGAAAGAAATATTTAGAAGTATTTCGTGTTTAGTCTAGACAATATTGGGCCCTTATGAGGAGATGACAAAATGCAGACTGATTTATCTTTCAAGGTTCAGTAGAAACACACAACTGTCCTATTCAAACCAGACAGGGATGAAACAAATACTGATTAATGATTCATTTCTAATCTTGTCTGACTGGATTTTTAACTGACTTGTTGAATATTTATGTAAAAATAACTTTGAGCTCTCCTGACGACTTTACCAACCAGATTATGATTTTGATGTCTCTCTACAGTTCTGTGAAAAAGTATTTGCCCCCCTTTCCTGAGTTTCCTGAGTCATTTATTAACGGAATAAAATAAATAAATAACTGCCCCCTAAATGTCATAACTGGTTGTGACACCGTTGGTAGGAGTAAAGTGTGTGTGATAAGTGGCAATAAGTCTAATTTTGCTTTGGAGGAATTTTATCCGACAGAAAGAAAACCAAATCAGGAAGGGGGAAATATTTCCTCACAGTACTGCATAAAGTCAGTACATGCAATAAAATACTGCATAGTTTGCAAATCAGCCAAAAAAAAAGAAATAAAAAATTCAATCTATGAATCTATACCCACTGATAGAAATACGATTTCTGATTAGATTTTTGAGTCCTAGTTTGGTGTACACCCTCGTTCAACTATTTCAAGGACAGACTTACATAAAAAAAGATGTCTCAGCAAGTATTGGAGGCCTGTGATGATGAATGCCCTTACCTTCAGAGAGCGATATCTAGTTTTTATTAAGTTCCATCCACCAACCAGACAGGAGATTAACCCATAGAACTGCATCTCTATCTGATGGAAAGCAAACACAAAACCTATACATTAGACAGCAGTGATGTGTCGCATTGTGCTGAGTGATTTGTTGCAGTGGTGGACATTTTATTTGGGATTACATTTTTGTTATACTCAGCCATAAGTTGGCCATATAATTTTTTAATTAATTAATAAATTAAAATTTTAATGTTTCTATAATAGTTACTGCAACTGTATGTTCAAGCTGTGCCAAATTACAGTTGTTTACTTGCATTTTTACTGGCATTCCTCAACATAAAAAAAATGTTTTAGTGGTTGAATGTTATGCTCGATTAATTTCTGACTTCTCACAGAAATTCAGTGGGCCAGCTCAAATTTGTGCATAAAAAAGTAAATTTGTTTTCTTATTTGTCTGATAACTAAGAATAGTTTTCGGTTTTAAACAATTCTCATGAATGCTTTCTAAAAAAAAAAAATGGTGTTTTCTTGTTTTTATAACAGGTAGTCTAAAAAATTTTACTGCCAGATTAAGTTCAAAGCACTTTAACTTAATCTGGCAGTAAAATGCAGCTTACAGTAAAGCAACAGTAATAGGAACCAAAAAGAAATCATTTATCATAACACAACACAATATAGATTGGTAACATTCCCGTAACATTCCCGAAAGATCCCTGCTTTAATTATGTGAGGAGACACACATGCATTTGAGGTTGCATTAAGAAGGTCATCCAGCATAAAAACAATCTGCTACATCAAACATGGAGGCAGCAGCTGCCGAGGTAGCTTGTTCCTCCTATTTTGATAAGTAATTTTGATGCCATCAACGTGTTTGAAAAAGATAGAGGCATGGTCAAGCAAAGCCTTGAAACAATGTTTGTGTTAGAGCATCTCATAATGAATTAGGTTTGTAACATAAACATGAACACACCCATCTGAAAGACGAATGTTTCTGCATTTTAACAGTAAGTCAATCGAAAATTGCAAATGATTTTCTCATCTGCAACACATAATATCATTAAACGCTCCAGAGAATCAATATGTCTGTATGCACGTGTGCAGGCCATTTCTGCTGTCAGCTGGTGACCACCCACGCTATACTTGCTGGTAAATACTGCTAGGATATAAGTGGAAATATAAATAAATATGGTCAATATAAAAACATTTCCATTGTGTATGAAAAGCATACTCATTCACTATTTGTCTTTTGCTTTATATTCTAAATAAATGAGGATCGGTTGATCAAGGTTCACACCTGCTTTACTGTGAAAACGTCCTACACTGTCTGTATCTTTCCTATTCTATTTTATCTAACTCAGTCTTGAAAAGGACATCAAACAGCACTTTGACCCTGCTTCTGGATTATGTGGTTGACCCTGAGTCCAGGAAGAAGCTTAGACATATTTTCAACTGCCTTTGTTGAAATACTGCCCTGTGTAACCTGGCGGGAATAAAAGGTTGCTGTATTTCTCTTAAAGTTCTTGCAGTGGTATGAATCACTAATGTTTCTGAATACCCCTGCACATTGTCTGTGTTCAGTGAAGCGTATCCAAATACAGTTTGCACTGACAGTTGAGATATGGATTGGGTTATATCACATTTCTTCAACTGTTTATTGAAAATTGAGGCTGCAAAATGACTACTCCATTGATGGATCATTCTCAAGACCGGACAACATATTCACCTAAGTAGTTTAAATTAAGCTAATACAAAGCAAAGCACACAGAGCTATGACCTCACCTACAAACAACAAGAGGAAGGAATAATAAGCATTGTGCACATTGTGTATTGCCTTGAGGTTCACTCTACAGACCAACCCACTTACTTCTACCTCTAAAAGATGTGTCATATATATACAAGAGACTGTGAATTTAAAAGAAGGCTGCTAATTATTTATGGCTATGCAAGATGTTCAGCACTAATAGACCGCACTGGCTGAGAATGAGTTTTATTTTCTAAGAAATAAAACAAAAATGCAAGATTTTAGGAGGGACTGATTGCTGAAAACTCTCATATCCGTCTAATATTGGCAATAAGCAGTGCCCATGGGATGCCTCTCTAGCTACTGTAAACTAATCTGATGCTCGTCTTATTAGATGCAACAGATTTGCCTGCAGGGGAGAACTGTGCAGTAGAACTGCTAATAAAAATATTATTAGAGAAGTGAAAGATAATTTAACTTAAAGAAATGCAAGTGGTTTGTCTTTCATGTTTGATCTTTAATGTGACTGTCATGTACAGCAACAAGTTGCTATTGTTCAATTTGCAAAACTAAGAGTTTCAGTTTTAGTAATAGTCCTGCAGTCAGATTTACTGCTGCGCCTACATCAGGTCACATGACCCTTGGCTCGCAGTTCTTTATTTACGAGTGTTGAGAAGGTTGTATACATCACAATCTGAATCTAAAGTGAATAGTTCTTTTGCTAGAACAATACAGCAAGACCACATTAAAGCAGCTGTCAAAGATAGGAAAGTAAATTCAATTTTGTGGTAAAAACAAAGCGGTGCTTTTTTTCCCCTTTTTTTTCTTTGAGATTTTCATAAATCACTGCAGAATAGCATGAATATATTCTGCTTTGCATATGAAAACGGTGTCTGAATGAAGTGGCTCAGTGTCGCAGTGCTCAGACACCTTTGTTTAGTTCAGGTTTCTTGGCAACAAAAACAACACATAGCACTGCAGACCTTAGGCTGTAAGCTGGTGCCTGTTTTCAGAGGTAGGGTGCTTCTTCTGAGCAATTTTCTGGCTAAAGTTTTAATTATTTTCATGTTATACATTTAAGGGTGTGGGAGGTGGGTTTCAAAGGAAAGTTTGGGTTCTACCGGTCTCAGTTCTTGATTTTTATTTATTTATTTAATTATGTTTATCATGTATGTTCATAACTTTGCAATCAAAGTAGTTTTGAATGTCGGGGTTTTGACATTCTGTCACCTTATTTCAAAATAGGACTTTACTCAACAACTTTTCCTTCATTCATACAGACTGAGACAAAGCTTTCAGCCCAGACATGTCGAGAGCACACAGCCTGGAATCGAGGGGGATGACAGCTGAAGGGAAATTCGCTCAGATTAACCATTTCCCATTCACTCCTGAATTCACCAAGACGCTTACAAAAAGCAGTCCATGTTTTGGTGCCTTGAGTCACCACTCATTCTTCTCCCGGCACAACCCTCATCCACACAGGATGAGGCATATTCAAGGTGAGCAAACATCTGGGTAAGCGGAAGATATCTGTTTATTTTATTAAATGTATTATTTTCAAATAAAGCCTAAGATATGTTTTTTTACATGTGTGTTTGAGGTGCTATAAATAAGAAGCATCTTTAAGAAATTAAGACAATACTCTAGCTCCCATCTTGATTCAAATGATCTAACTGTAACACACATTTTATGTTGTATTTATGTTGTTGCCTTGCAATTACCTGCTAACAGACTAAATTGCAGGTGATTTAGTATTTATGGACTTAAAACACCTTATGATAAAATAATTTAATTGTAATTAAATATTAAGTATTCATGCTAAGTATTCTCAAATAAAAATGACAACAAGGCACTTCAGTAAAGTCTTTGAATCAGTCTATTAGCAGTTGTTCAGCAGGAACCAAACACAAGCCCAGATAAATGACTTCAGAATTTACCAAATAGTTGTGTCTCTTTTTCCTTGGCCAGAGCTGTTGAGGTAAGTCTCTAAAAAACAGAATTGGCTCGTCTTCTTTCCTAAGAGCTTCGCTTTAATGCTCTATGAAGGTAAGTGACTTTGGCAAGTGGGATGAGAGTGGGTCAGTCAGGCTGGCAGGTAAGTGGTTATGTCAGGTGGGGAAGAGTGGGTCAGGCTGGTCTGTGGGTATGTCTTACAGCAGCATCCAACAGGATGGATGGAACACAGGGGTGCCTGTCTGGGATTTCCTAAAGCCACACCCACCACTGCAAGAGAGGTTGGGTTGGGCGTGACTGTGAAAGGCAATAACAATAATAATAAAATCATTTAACAAATATGGAATATACAAGTTTTTGATGTAACAATGTCAAATTGTGATTTTTCCCATGTCAGTATTATTTGTGTTTAGCGACTATATCAAAATTTTAATATAGGATAACTTAGTGTATAAATGTACATAAGGGACCTCATGTGAATTAGTCCAGTCTACAAAATTACCTACATGCCATTTTATATATGCATTTTTGTAGGTGCATGTTGCTGTTAAGCATAGGTAAACAATAAGGTGTTTTGTACTGCGGTCCTGGTCAAAATGTTATACAAACTTATTATGTAATGTTGTGATAAGTTTCGATTTTTAATGATTTGTTCATTATATCTGGTTAAATGTCCCTAAGCATATAAACATTTAATTTAGACATTTAATCACCCAGATTTTTGTGCACTTAATTCTAGTTTATTAACATCATCAAATATGTATGTTGTGCAATCATTCCACCCCGAATGAATGATTCAAAGAAATCACTTAAAGCCCAAACTTACCAATTTATGCCTGTGACCAGTGGATGTAATCTGACCACAACTGTGCATGGGTGCACCGTATATTCAAATTTTGCATGCCATGTTTTCATTATGGGAGTGGACAGTATCTGGTTGATGAGTCAGTTATGTATTAGACAATGGACAATTGACTTGCCACTTTTAGCATACATAGGTGTAAATGCCTTTTGTGGCACAGTGTGTATTTTTGTCAGGTCTTTCCATTGCAAAGTAAAGAGCCCTAATAGAACTGTTGTTGTGATCCATATAAATAAAACTGAATTCTATCTATCTATCTATCTATCTATCTATCTATCTATCTATCTTTAGAGGCAGCTTTTATTAAAGCTGCCCTGATAATTGGACACACTATATATAATTTGTCAGTGATATTTAGCTTAATGCTTTGCACTGTTTATGCAAACAAGAAGTAAACAACTTATTGAAGAAATCATAGCAAATAACTGAATAACTGTTTAACTGAATCAAATTAAGTGTGCCCAAGAAAGTATCCATCCATCACTAAAATTCAGTTAGTAATAAAGTCTACGAAGGTAGGAGACTGTGCTGGAATAATTGCTCAAAGATATTTTCACCCAGGAGACTGGAGTTTGTATTTGTTAATTAAAGTCAGTGCTGGCTTATTATTTTCATCTTTTTCCACTTTGATCCAGGTTGTTAGGTTTGGGGAAAAAGGAAAAAAAAAACATCCAAATTTAGGTTCAGTAAAACCCTTTCCCGTGTCTACCATGTGTTAGAAAGCCTGGCAGAAAGTGCTGGAGGCAAACTTCTCCCACAACATGTTAGAAGTGTGTAGTGGTTTGTGAGGCTTTTTCATAAGCTCGTGTTCATAAGTAAAATTTAGTTGCATCATAAATACAAATGTAATATGATTAAAACAAACAAAACTATACCAAATTATATTTTTTGTGTCTTGCAAGTTAGCTATAGTACATCAGCGTTTTTAGAGTGTATCTCCTACAAACCTTTAAATGTGATAATGTTGTGTTAACATCTTATTCTGCTGTCCTCAATTAGCATTTTCCCTTTGTCATTACCAAATGCTTTTCAACTTGAGACTACAAAGTCTCTTTGCTGCATTAATTTAGAGGTTATTATCTAATCTACCTGGGACACACTGAATAACAATCTGTTTGCGTACTAATTAATTCTGGCTCGAGGTGATTACCTGTCAGAGCTAATTAAAGTTAATATATGAGCTAAAGCCATTAACAAGGTCTTCATTCTTGAAGTCTTCCTTCTTTTACAACCTGCTCTATATGAAATATTTCAAGCAGCTGTTTGGGCACCTGGAATGCTAATATGTAACATGAATAGATCAATTTACTGCACTACTGGTAGAAAAGAAGGTTACATCCCTGAGGTTCCCATGAACTTGTCACGTTTATTCTCAGCAGGGATTCTGCTGGCTCCAGTTTTTTTAAATGGTACTGCTTCGATGGATTTGTGCCTCTAAAGCACTTTTCTGTGAGCAGGGTGAATACTGAGCATTTCTCATTCCCACAGGATTCACAGGCAGACCAATTTGCATGGTAAGAGATGATTGGTGTGTCACGTCGTCGTTATTTCCTCATCCACTTCTCAAGAGCCACATAAACAGGAAAGCAGCAGAGCCAGCTTTTCAGCTTGCTCAAAATCTTTATGGAGTCTGCGGAGACAAAACTAAATCAGGTATGTGTACTAACATATATGACACCTAAACGTCTTTATTTCTTTTCTAGTGGTCCCCAAAGAAGCCAATTTTGAGTAATGGCTTTAATCATTTTGTAATTGTTTCTTTTTTCACAGCACTATTGTCGGATGCCTGGAGAGATGAACTCAAAGAAATGGCTGCAAAAATCAGTCTAACTTCCCAAACACAAAAGGACAAAAGAGAGGTATTAATAGTTGAATTCTCATGTATTTTTACAGTACTTGACACACAGTAAAAAATCCTTTGTTTGATTATGGCTATCCAGTGCCTGATAGTAAAGGGAATTTAGAGATTGGTTGTGACACTATATGGACAGTCTACTTAATACCTTAATGTTTTTCATTATTTTTTTTTTACATATTTTCTAATTTAAGTTAATTTTGTAGAGTTCTTCAGTTTCTTTCTAACTCAAGAAGATTTCATACTGGAAAAATGTATCCATGTACTGCAGGAACAACCAGAGGAAAAGTTTGTCCGACGAAAGACTCAATATTCAGCTCAGACTGGCAGACTTATTCCTCCATCCTCCAAGTCCTACCTGCGCAAATCTCAATACCAGCGCATGAGCCATCCTCAACCCTTCCATGATCAAGAACTCATGGTAAAATACTGGTTAACTGATCCTGAGTTGTACTGTATAATATGAGGTGTTTTAGGGTTAAAACAAACAAACAAACAAA